CAATCATAAAGTTTTTTTATGGAGGGAGGGAGGGAGAGAGAGAGAGAGGTCAATTAGAGAGGAAAGAAACAAATGCAGCACTCTAAAGTCCAAAAGCTATAAAACAAAAGCTAAAAGTCTAAAACGCGTATTTGGTGAAAAGTATCACTGCCAAGAATGATTGATATGTAACGCTCTAAATTATCATATAGTACATTCTTGTTAAAACGCCCAAAAATAAAAAAAAATAAGCCCGAAGGCAATAGAAGAAGACCCCACATTCACATTATGAAGCTAGAAACCTCGAGAACAAACCACACAAGAAATAAATATAGGCCCAAAATTCAGGGCGATCACAAAAAACTATAATAGCCCATGACCATTTGTCTAGGCTAATAAATTTTCATACTACTAGGAGGGGTTATGTGTTCAAATATGATGAACGACAGTTGCTAAATAAAAAAGCTTATACTACTATAAAAGGTAAAACTTTACCTTTTCCGTAATGTTTTAGGGTCATGAGGATGGATGCTATTTAGCCATTTCGAGCAAAAGAAAGATATTGTCTATCAAGTCATGAGTCGTAAACAAACAAATATAATCATAATGTAAAAATGTTGATCGAATTTCATGATTCCTTATGCTACCAAACTTGTTCCCATCACATCATTAACCCATGTAGAATTAAAGACCAAATCCATTGATGTCCTTTCTTTGTTCCATCTTCATTTGAATTAGAATTTGTTTATTTAGCATTTGAAAATTTAATAAATTAAAGCCCAACTTGTATTATATGATGGGGAATGCTAGCAACTTTCTCTCTAACCTTCTCCTTTGGATCTTCTCCCCTCTTTGCTTGACATGTGTCATTCTCTCTACACTTAAAACAATGCCATTAATATATTATACAAGCTAACTTTTGCTTTCCAAGTTTACCTTTATTACATGTATTCAATTTATCCAAAAAAAATTCACAACTTTCTTACCATCTTATTAATTTGTTTTTAACGTAAATTATTTTTTTTAAAGAAAATATGTGCTTTTTTTCTTAAAAGAGGAAATGTTCTTTTTTTTTATTTTATTTATAAAACACAAAGGGTTTAGATTTTTTTTTTTTAAAGTCTAAACTTGACGTTAAAAAAAAAGGGGACATTTCCGCTTTTTTTTATTTATAAAAAAACAGATATTTTCTTTATATATATAAAAAAAAAGATGGTAAGAAAGTTGAATTTTTTTTTTGGATAAATTGAATACATGTAATAAGGGTAAACTTGGAAAGCAAAAGTTAGCTTGTATAATATATTCATGGCATTGTTTTAAGTGTAGAGAGAATGACACATGTCAAGCAAAGAGGGGAGAAAGTGAGAAATGCTAGCAACCTTCTCTCTAACCAAACTCATATTTATCATTGCAATATGATTTACCAAAAACAACCCAAAAATTGAAAAAGGAAAAAGAAAAGAAGAAGGAAACAGCTCTAAAATTATTTTTGGGTTTTAGCGCAAAATTATTCCTTTGGCACCTCGGACACTTCACCTCAAAAAATCCAGCATCTTCCGCTTCTACACCTCCACAAGACAACCCCCCAAAAACCCCTCAACCCAAACCCTAATTCCTCTCCCACATGAAGAAAATTCCAACCCAATTCAGCGTCAATTACCTCAAATCCCACCAAAGGAACCCCAAATTCTGGCTCTTCAAACCCTAGATTTCCCGCCAATGGGCTCAACCCTATTCCCAATCTCCTTCATGAACGATACTCCCTCTCCTCCACCGTCCCCTGGCGATGGCGACGATACCTTCGAGGCCTGGTATGGCAACATCCAGTACCTTATCAACATCTCCGCCATCGGTTCCTTCTTCTGTGTCTTCATCTTTATCTTCGTCAAGCTTCGCAGCGACCACCGCCGCATGCCTGGCCCGTCTGCCCTCGTCTCCAAGCTCCTAGCCGTGTGGCACGCCACGTGTCGCGAGATTGCGCGCCACTGTGGAGCTGACGCGGCCCAATTTCTCTTGATCGAGGGTGGCAGCTGCGGCTTGCTCTTGTCCATGGCGGTCTTGGCTGTGCTTGTGATGCTTCCGTTGAATCTATATGCTGGGAATGCTGTGCTTGGAGACCAATTCTCGAAGACGACCATCAATCACATTGAGAAAGGTTCGGCTTTGCTTTGGGTGCATTTTGTTTTCGTGGTGGTGGTTGTTGTTTCGGTGCATTTTGGTATATCTGCTATTGAGAGAAGGCTGAGGATCACTAGGATTAGGGATGGTAACGGGAATTTGAGTGACCCAACTGCGAATTCCACTGCTATTTTTACTATAATGGTGCAGGGGGTACCAAAAACTATAGGAAATGATAGGACTGTGTTGCATGAATATTTTCAACATAGGTATCCTGGAAAGGTTTATAGGGTCATAATGCCGATGGATTTGTGTGCATTGGATGATTTGGCCTCGGAATTGGTGAAGGTTAGGCATGAAATTTCTTGGTTGGTTGCACGAATTGACTCCCGGCTCTTGCCATATGAAAGTGAAGAGGAAGGATATCTTGGGGCTTCTTCAGAGGGAGTAAGGGGTCGGGCTTGTTATATGTGGGGAAAGGTGAAAGATTTCTGGTATCAAACTATGGCTAGGTTGGGTTACACGGATGAAAGGAAATTAGGAAAGTTGCAGGGATTGAGAGCTGAATTGGAGACTGAACTTGCAGCTTATAAAGAAGGGCGTGCATTGGGCGCTGGTGTTGCGTTTGTGGTGTTTAAGGATGTGTACACTGCTAATAAAGCGGTTCAGGACTTTCGACATGAGAAGAAGAGTCGGATAGGGAAGTTCTTTTCTCTCATGGAGTTGCGTTTACAACGGAACCAATGGAAAGTTGAGCAGGCACCCTTGGCAACAGATATTTACTGGAATCATTTGGGGCCGTCAAAAGTCTCACTGAAATTGCGGAGAGTGTTGGTGAACACATGCTTGCTGTTGATTCTCCTGTTCTTTAGCTCTCCTCTTGCAGTTGTTAGTGCTTTCAAGAATGCCTGGCGGATTATAAATGCAGAAGCTATGGATAACGCCCAGTTGTGGTTAGCTTGGGTGCAAAGCTCAAGCTGGCTTGGGAGTCTTATCTTTCAGTTTTTACCCAATGTGTTCATTTTTATAAGCATGTATATAATAATCCCATCAGCACTTTCCTATCTCTCCAAGTTTGAGCGCCATCTTACAGTGTCAGGGGAGCAAAGAGCTGCTCTTCTTAAGATGGTTTGTTTCTTCCTGGTGAATCTTATACTTCTTAAGGGTCTGGTTGAATCATCTTTAGAGAGTGCCATCCTAAAGATGGGAAGGTGCTATTTGGACGGAGAAGATTGCAAGAGGATTGAGCAGTACATGAGTGCATCATTTTTGTCAAGATCATGCCTTTCCTCTCTTGCATTTTTGATAACAAGTACTTTTCTGGGAATATCGTATGATCTACTAGCTCCAATCCCTTGGATAAAAAGGAAGATTCAGAAGTTTCGGAAGAATGACATGCTGCTGCTGGTACCAGAACAAAGTGAAGAATATCCATTAGAAACTCAGGAAACTGATAGTCTAGAGAGGCCCTTGATTGTGGATCACACATATGACTCTCCCAGACTGAATGGAATTGATCTCCCGGGACAAGATCTTTCTGAATATCCCATCAACAGAACCTCAACAGCCCCTAAGCAGACATTTGATTTCGCACAATATTATGCGTTTAATTTGACGATATTCGCCCTGACCTTTATATATTCTTCCTTTGCGCCACTAGTGGTTCCTGTTGGTGCGGTTTATTTTGGGTATAGGTATGTGGTTGATAAGTACAACTTTCTCTTCGTCTATAGGGTGCGGGGATTTCCTGCTGGGAATGATGGGAAGTTGATGGATACGGTATTGTGCATCATGCGTTTTTGTGTTGATTTGTTCCTGCTCGCAATGCTTTTGTTCTTTTCTGTCCATGGAGACTCAACAAAGCTGCAGGCCATATTCACACTTGGGTTATTAGTAATGTATAAACTCTTGCCTTCCCAGAATGATAGTTTTCATCCAGCCCTTTTGGAAGGCGTACAAACTGTAGACAGTGTTGTTGTGGATGGAACCATCGATTATGAGGTCTATTCACAGCCCAAGTTTGATTGGGATATATATTATTCATAATTTGAGCTACTATATTATTATTCACCAATTGTTTGACTTTGTAACTTGCACGGTAATTATTGTCCATATTGGCGTTATTATGAAGAAGAAGAAAAAAAAATCTCTGTTCATTTGTGGTTATTTATGTGTTTATGACAATTTTTTTTATTTTAAAGATTGCAAGTATTTGGCAGTGTTTTTTTTATTTTTGATTGCGTGGACGGGGATTTGAATTCGGTATTTCTTCCAATATTCCTGCAATGCATTTTCGCAAGAAGAGAACAATAAGGTTCTAGATTGTTGTGAGAATATTTAAAACATGCACTTGATCATGATAAAATTGGGAAAAAAGAATGGTAATGGGTCCCACGTTCTATTAGAGAGTTGGTATCCCAAGTTGGTCTCCCTAGCATTTTCCATATTTAAAACATGCACTTGATCATGATAAAATTGGGAAAAAAGAATGGTTCAATAATGGGATTAGTGCAACTTACCCGGACCAAAAAAATCGTAGGCAAAGATGGGAAATAGAGGAATATTAGGAGATCAAAAGCCAAGACTCATCCTAACTCCGCTCTTGGCCAAGCAAATGCTTCGCTTCTTCAAGAGGCTCTTTCTACAATACTTGAACAGTTGAACAGGGTCTGCAACCAAAATGTGGCTACACTTCTCACTAATTTCTCACTCTTATCTCTCTCTCCTCTCTCTCCTCTCTCTCTCTCTCTCTCTCTCTCCTCTCTGTCTTAAATGTGTGGCTAATATTTAAATAAATTTGGCAGGTTTTATTATATTAATTACCATTTCAATGAGGGTAAAATAAATAGCAACAGTTGAATTGCCAGTCACAAGGTAATCGTTTCTTTTCTAGTACTTGTGACTTTGATTTCTTCTTTTTCTTCTTCATTTTGTTGTTACAAAGGAAGGCAGAAGATATAGAAGATAAAAATTATGCACCATTTAGGTGTGAAGAAAAGCAATCTTCTTGATTTGGCTTCTGCAGAGACAAACAAGCTTGGCCCTGCAGGCAATCATGACCAGCCTCTCTGCCCCAAGCCTCGTAGAGTTGGCCCTGCCGTACCTGAATTCCTCAAGCCTCAAAGATGTAACAAGCACAGGTCCTAATTAATTTTATTTTGTTGCTTTTAACCTTTTTTTTTTGGGGTTCCATGATCTTTAACAAAAAAATGTTTCTGGGTTTTCATTTTTCTTCAAAACACAATAATTTTCCCATAGATTACCAACTTATGTAGCTCTTTTCTGTTTACTTTTTTTGTAACCAGCCAACAAAATTCTGATGAAAGAAGTGGAATTCTGAATATGATCACTGCAAAGGTTAGCATTCACGCTTTCTGAATCTTATTTACTTCTTATTATTCGAATCAAAATGATTGTCGTCTATAAAATTTGAACTCGGGACCTGGTGCAGGAAATATTTGATGGGAGAGAATATGTATGCACCAAGTGTTCACCAGCATGTTACTCAGGATCTCCACCAGGCAGAACAAATAACCCTTTGGTTCATGATGTGCAGTTTCTTCATCAGATGGAACTTCTTTCTCCATTCACAAGAACAAAGCTCTCAGATAAATTTGGTTTTAGTACCTCTGCCTCTCCAGTGTGATCAGCCTCAGAAATGGTGTCGTCTCCCGATTTTTTGGAAGAATGAGAGTTTTTGTTTCCCGGAATTTTCAGGGTTCTGTTTTTGTAGTGTTCATTTGTAAAAGTTTTGTAACCTTTTGAGTTCAATTGTGAGTATCAAATTGTATATATGATGAGATGAGTACCTCAAATTTGTCTTGTATATATGATTGTGATAATAATAACAAGGCCTCTGCTTTCAGTCTTTATGTGTGCCCACTTCAAATGAATATTTTTTATATATATATCAGAATCCTAACAAATCAATCAAAGTAATCAGAAATCAGTCAATATTTACCTTTTTATGAAAGGGCAAAATTACACAAAATTCCCACCAAATCCCAATTTTTTGAATATCGAAACAAATCTTAACACATGATTAAATGTAAGTATGTCCTAAATCTACTAACGAGTTTGCGACTATATTTACTTATCCATAAACCTGTTGAAATTGAAATTGCTCAAGTTGAACTTTTGACAAAATATACCAAGGAATATTATTAGTAGAACCAAGAGTTAAAATATCAATCAAAACTTTAATGTATGGTACTAAATAATTTATTATTATTATTATTATTTTTTTAACACTTTGTTCCCAAATATGCAAGAACTTTGAGTATTTTCATTCATGATTAATAAACCACGTTTTGATCCGAACCGTCGGATAAGGTTGTAGATTTTTTCCCTCCAAAAAAAGGGGACCGTTGAAATTCTCCCTAGGTAAAAGACACATTTGACACGCGTCGAATCGCAATTTGTCCGCGTTTCCTTTCAAAGTCAGGATTTCGCGCAATCCAGTGAGTCACACTTCCGAGTTGAATAACTTCTTCAACTGTCAAATTAAAATCATGTTGCGGGACCCACCGCCACAAACTCCAAAAAAAAAAACAGTGCAGCAGAGCAAAGCAAACTCTCTCACTCACTCACTCCATTTCACCAAACGCACTTTCTTCTTCGCCTTCCAAGATCTTCTTCTTCCACTGTTTCTCGATCCATTCGCTCTCTTCTTCTTTCCCCAATGCAAATCTTTCTAGGGTTAGAGAAAATTTCAAAGAGAGATGCTTACTGATCTCTGTAACTTCGTCGTCCTCCTTTTCTTTCTGTCAATCTTGGGCCTTCAGAGCTGCCATGGCCGCATCTTCAGCTTCAAGATGCACCACCGCTTCTCCGACCCCGTCAAGGAGTGGTCGGCAGTCTCCGGGAAACTCTCGCCGGCCGACAACCTTCCGGCGAAGGGAAGCTTCGAGTACTATGCGGAATTGGCCCGCCGCGATCGCTTTCTTCGCGGCCGCAAGCTCGCCCAGAGCGACCAGAGCGACACTACTCCGCTAGCTTTCTCTGATGGCAACTCGACTTTTCGGATCAGCTCCTTGGGATTGTACGTTTCTTTGTGTTACTATCAATGCCTTTCTCTAAAGCTTCAATTTTTTAAACTAAATTCTTGGAGTTTAATTGCGAATTTAATTTAATTAATTTACATTTTATATTTGGGGAGGTTTTTGTAGCCTGCATTACACCACGGTGCAATTGGGTACGCCGGGAATGAAGTTTATGGTGGCGCTTGATACAGGGAGTGATCTGTTTTGGGTGCCTTGTGAAGGCACAGCTTATGCTCCTGTAAGTTTTGCGCTTATTATTATCAGTTACTATCAGTTTTTGGACCTTTTCTTTTCTTTCTTTAATTATGTTAACAAAAGATAAGTTCTTTCTATTCCAATCCATGTGCACGTTCCAATTAGATGGTGGAACTGTTGATGAGAGTGTCATTTGAATTTGGTGTCTGTTTGATTTGCTTTTAATATGCCTATTTGTTTCAGTTTTGTCAAGAAAATGTAACTTGTATTTGGGTTGGTCACACACCGGCATCTGATTTCAAGACTAATCAAATAATTAGCAAATTAAAACTATGTATACCTTTGTTTATCTATCTTTTTAGAGTTGGCAGAGAGAAATCAAATTCTAAGTTATGCAGATTATGTCATATCAGATGGACAGTCGGAAAATGTAGCTACTAGTGTATCATTTTCGTATGCAAAAAGGGGTAGACAGTTTAGAATGGCACTCTGAGATCTTGTTATGATATTGGGAGTAAAGGACAAGAATGGTGATATCAATTTCCTGATGCATTCATCTATTACTCTTTCTGCTTTTGCAGTTAGTAAATACATATGATTTACCGTGGCAGGATTTTGAGGTTAGCAAATATGACCCTGAAGGGTCGTCGACAAGCAAAAGAGTCAGTTGCAACGACAGTTTGTGTGCACACCGTAATAGATGTATGGGTTCATTCAACAATTGCCCTTACATGGTCTCTTATGTCTCAGCTGAAACTTCTACTTCTGGGATATTGGTAGAGGATGTTCTGCACTTAAAAACAGAAGATAGTCATCGGGAACTTGTTGAGGCATACGTTACCTTTGGGTGAGCTCTGTCATCATAATTTTTGGACTTCTTTTTGTTCCTTTTGTTTTAGTCTCATGTAGGTAGCTGAAAATGCATTGTAAATTGTTCAGTTGTGGACAGGTGCAAAGCGGTTCTTTCCTGGATGCTGCAGCTCCTAATGGTTTGTTTGGGCTTGGTATGGAGAAGATTTCTGTTCCTAGCATTTTATCCCGGGAAGGCTTTACAGCCGATTCTTTTTCCATGTGTTTCGGACATGATGGGGTTGGGAGAATTAATTTTGGTGACAAGGGGAGTCCTGACCAGGAAGAGACCCCATTTAATGTCAACCCGTCACAGTAAGTGGTAACTTCTCAGATACTTGATGCTGATTTTTCATAATTAATTTTTCATGAAAGGAGGTTTTAACGTTGTTTTTATGTCATATAATGGGACGCATGTTACAGTCCAACCTATAACATCACCGTAACTCAAATTCGAGTGGGGACAGATCTTATGGACATTGACTTCACAGCTCTTTTTGATTCTGGGACGTCTTTCACATACTTGGGTGACCCAACTTATACAAGGCTTTCAGAGAGTGTAAGCACTTCAAGTGTTGTAAATAATTTTACTTCTTTATGTTATCAGACTGTCAATTGACAACACACGTCAGTATGTCGGACAAGAGAACACCATGTACACACACTTGGACATACAACTCAATAGTTGATGCTTTATGAATTTTGCAGTTCAATTCACTGGCTCGAGATAAGCGTCGTCCACCTGACCCAAGGATCCCATTTGAATATTGTTATGATATGAGGTTTGTGTACTTATTTGTCTCTATTTCTACCTCCAACTTTAAAATTTCTTCTATTCCTAAAAAAATTCTTTCAATGTGCAGTTCTGATGCAAATGCTAGTTTTATACCCAGTCTAAGTTTAACCATGAAAGGTGGAAGCCAGTTTGCAGTCTATGATCCGATCATTGTCATCTCCACCCAGGTAATGCTTTGTTTTTTTACCCCAGTTTTATTTGTTGTTTTACCAAGAAGGGTCATAAATATCTTGCTTGCTGTTGATTTGCAGAGCGAGCTGGTATATTGCCTGGCTGTTGTCAAGAGTACGCAACTAAATATAATTGGACGTAAGTCTTTTGCATTGCAGTTGATTTTAATTCACAGTAAAGTGGCTGTGACTGCTCTAACTTTTGGACTAACTTAGCTGACCATTACTCAGTGTGTTGGGTTATTTTGTTGCCTGGTACTCCATAATGATATACCAAGGAGGCTTTCGTAACAAATCAGCTTCTTCCTCTCAGATCAATAGCCCACTTTAATCTAAATATCCTAGTTGCATTTGTTTTGGTATTACATGTTGGCTTATGCTTCAGTTATTGGTCTCTCTACAGAAAACTTTATGACTGGCTACAATGTTGTATTTGACCGAGAGAAATTCGTTTTGGGCTGGAAGAAGTTTGACTGTAGGTGTTACTCTCATTTATTGTGCACACAGCTATTCTCCATGCCTTGATGTATGAACTAATTGCATGACCAAATTTTTGGATCCTAATGCAGGTTATGACGTTGAGAACCATACTAGCTTGCCTTTTAAACCTAAATCTACCAATGTGCCTCCTGCTGTTGCTGCTGGACTAGGTAACCATTCTACTCCAGAATCAACGAAAAAGACCCGGAATAGTCAGACTTCAGCTGCATCTCTGCCTTACCATAGCCATTTTCCTCTTACTTGGTTTCGGTTTGTCATCCTCCTTTTCGTATTGTTATAGGCTATAGCTGTTATGTGGCCATCTGTTTTTTTCTGGTCATGCAGTTCCACAGGGTATAAGAATTTAGATCAAATCTTTTCATCGTGTATTAATGTAAATCCTCTCTAATCAGTCCCACTTATACTTCATGGTTGGGGGAATCTTGCAATACCTCTGTTCCTCAGCTCATGGGCAGGCCAGATTTTTGCTCCTTGCTGTGGATAAATCTCACATTCTCCAAGTGAAATGCCTCAGTTTCCCCCATAATGTTTAGCCTTTCATCATCTAGCATAGGCATCTCTACATCATTGTTGTAATTGAAAATTTCACAGGGATCAAGAGATCCTGTTTTTTGAATAGACAGTTATACAATATATGATACTACATGTTTCAGTCATTATAATGTCTAAAGATATTAAGCTCATATTATACGCATTTGGATGTCAGATTTATCTTTTTAGTTACATTGGAGGGAATCGAACCCTTAAGTCATGGTTTTAAACCATTTGGGCTAATTCTGCAGTTGGGCCCTTGGATTAGAGAGAGAGAGAGAGAGAGAGGACTTGATCTAACCTCCTCACTCAACCTCCTCATTCTAGCCTTTCCTAGACGACTTAGTCTGGTCTTGATCTTGGTCATTTATTTTTATGGTCCATCCATCAAACACTGATGGCATTAATTTATTAGTACAAAGAGGACTTTGAGCTGTTCTTGGAATCTTCTTGTTCGTTCTTTTTGTGCCATTAAACTAAGTTCCAATTGCCCCACAGCAAAGTAAATGGAATTTGATAATGCAGTCTGTGTAGGTTGACTTGACCAAATGAAAAGTTGCATAAAAACTTCAAGAGTAGGAGAGTGATTGGTGGTAAAAGGATGAGTCAGTCAGCCAAAAAGCAAAATGACAACTTTTTCGATTTCTTTTTTGTTTCCGTTCTTTGGTATAATTCCATACGTTTTGGTTGAGGTGTCAAATTTGGGGAAGATGAAACTGAAACTTCCTTTGAAAAGATGGTGAATGGTCTTAAACCGTAGGAA